AGAATTCACGAGTCAGTCTCAGGAATTCTGGGAGTTGAATACCACAAATCACAAAATGGCCATCTTTCCCCACCCCTGATCTAAGGCTTGGCGGCAATTTTCCAAAGCAAAGATTTTGTAACAGAATAGATATCTATTCACCATCATTTTAGACTACTAACAAATAGAAGGATTGTGTTATGCCAGTCTTTATGCCAGATACTTGGATAATTATTTTATGTTCAATTTCTTCTTATTCTATATTAAGGGCTACATGTGGCTTACAAGAATTTTTTAAAACACAATTTATTTAATTGCATAATCTATAGCCATTATATGCTGCTCCAGTCCTAACATTTTATTACACATTTTTAAACAATAGACAAAATACTAAAAAAGCGCACTCCTAAACACAAAGTAATAAAAACAGTGGGCAAAACTAAGAAGAATACTTTTTACAATACTAGTGATAAACAAAATAGAGAAAAAGAAAAAAATGACGGGCAATCTAAGTATATTATCTATACATCAATATTAAAGAACATACAGGTAGTCCTCAACTTACGACCACAATTAAGCCCAAAGTTCCTCTTGCTAAGTGAGATATTTGTTAAGTGAGTTTTACCCTATTTTATGACCTTTCTTGCAACAGTTGTTAAGTGAATCACTAGAGTTGTTAATTGAATCTGCTTCCCATTGTCTTTGCTTGTCAGAAGGTTACAAATGGTGACCACATGATTGGGACACTGCTATAGTTATAAATATGAGTCAGTTGCCCTATGTCTGAATTTTGATCACAAGCATGCTGCAATAGTCGTGAGGTTGAAAAGTGGTTATAAGTCACTTTTTTCAGTGCCATTGTAACTTTGAAAAGTCACTAAATGAATCATTGTAAGTTGAGGACTACCTAGGTTAGTTTTCAAATGTAAAAGAGAATAAGAATCTATTATTATTAAATATCAACACATGTATGTAAAAGAGGAAGGTATTATGTTATTTTTAATTCATACAAAAAAATCTGGATAATGATCCTTAATGTCTGGAATAACAACAACAATAATAACAAAGCAATAGTTATTACTATTTTTCAATTTCTCAAAATAATTGTCTTAATAATTCCACATGCTCAATGTAGCCAAAGCTGCTCAAAATCAAATTCCATATTTTTTTTAACGTAATCCGATATAACATTATTGTCTTTAACATTAAATGATTTCCCCATAAATTGACTGACGTATATTAACATATTGTTCCAAAAAGATGCCAACTCAAAAGGAAGTATGATACAAGTCAGTGACCTCTTCCATAAAGTTAAATATTCATGAGCTTCAATATCAGCAATCCAGTCTACAGCCCAACAGGGCCCAAACATCTCCGGCTCTTTTCAGTCTCAGAATTGAAAGGTCCATTTTACTATATATTGACCCAAGTAATTGCTAAGGGCTTAAGGCAAATAAACCAGAAAGTTTCCAATGAGATCCACAAAGGATGACAGTCTATTAAATTTCCATTCCACATAAACATGGCTGATCTGATCAAAGCTCAGTGATATTTTTGAAATCAACAGCATTAAAATATAACCTCAGTTTAAGCAGGGAAATCCTTGGCAGCCTGTTTTGCCCTATAAATGTGCTCAATCATCTGGCTATCTGAAGAAAATACTTGGAGGAGTTTTTTACATTCAGCTTCTTCCTGTTCTTTATTAAGAGGTTATGTGCAGTTTTAAAAATTCTATTCTTATGTCCAGTCCTGAAACTCAACCCCCTAAAGCTGAATTAGTACAGGTAGTCCTTGACTTATGACCACAATTGAGCCAAAAATTTCTGTTGTTAAGGGAGACATTTGTTAAAGTGAGTTTTTCACCATTTTGCAACTTTTCTTGCCACCGGTGTTAAGTGAATCATGGCAGTTGATAAGTTAGTAACCCTGTTGTTAAGTGAATCTGGCTTCCCCATTGACTTTGCTTGTCAGAAGGTCACAAAAGGTGATCACGTGACCCCAGGACACTGCAACTGTCATAAATATGAACCAGTTGCCAAGCATCCAAATTTTGAGCACATGATCATGAGGATTCTGCAAAGGTTGTAACTATGAAAAGCAGTCATAAGTCACATTTTTCAGTGCCATTGTAACTTTGAATGGTCACTAAATGAACTGTTGTTAGTCGAGGACTACCTGTAATAACTTGCTGAAGGCCAACTCAATTTTTGTAGTTGAGCAAGAGATTTAAATCTTGTTTTACAGAAATGGAGATTTCCCCCCTCCCTTCCAGCTCTAAAAAAAAACAGATCCAGTGGGGAGAAGGTTAATTTGAATTTGTTTCTTTGGGGAAAAAAAAAACCAGGATGAAAGTTCTCATACCCATTATGAATATTTTCCTTTAGAATGATGAATAAAATATATATTCCACTCTTTTCCTGCCCACAAGTTACGTCTAGGCCTAGGCAACCAGAAGACTTTGTTTACCCAGAATCATGAAATTTTCATGCTAAGGACATGCAATCCTTGCAGGACGCTCCAGCTTGTGCTGCAGTTTTCACTAGAGAAAAGCAAGAATTCAGTACCGTTTTTCTCTGAGTGCCTGCACGCATTCACTGGGGTAGAGGTTAGAGGGATAGAAAGGACCCAGCAGCGGGCCTGCCTCCTCAGAAGAGCAGATCTTAAAGTTGGAAGGAACTCTGCTTCCTGTCTCTGTAAAACAACATATATTATTCAGTAGTGGAATCCTACCTTAGTCGCTACCAGTTTGGTTGGGTGAGCACACACCACATGTGTGTGTGCCCCTAACACACACTCCCCTAACAAGCTAATCAGCTGAGAGGATGAAGAAAGGAAAAGCTAGGAGCAACCCTCCCATCCACCCATCCACCCAGGCGCTTTTCGGTCTTTTATCCTCTCAGCTGATTGTCGATTTTTTTTCCTCCTTTCAGCTTATCGGAGGCTTATTTTTTTTACCACCAGCTTGGCCAAACCGGGCCGAACCAGTAGCATACCACCACTGATATTATTGTAGCTACAATATGGCTTGATGAATTCAATCTTCCAAACATTCAATAAAGAAGTATGTTTTCATTTCTTTTAGCGCCTTCTTTACTGAATGTTTGAAATATTGAACTCATCAAGCTGTATTGTAGCTGCAATAATAATATATATTTTAGACGAGAAGCCAAGTTAGTCTTCTGCCAAAACAACAAGGAAGCACTTTAGCACTTCGATGCTGGTGCCTTGTCCATATTCAGGTAATCCTTTTTCAGTGGCCACAGTTGGGAACCAGCAACTTGATCGTTAATCAAAATGGTCATTAAGTGAATCGTCATGATTTTATGGCTTTACTTCAGCTCTCCTTTGCTTTACAGACCTGTGAATGCAAGGATTAGTTGCAAAATTAGTTCTTTGTCATTATTGTAACTTTGACAGGTTAATTGCGTGAGGCAGTCACTAAGCAAGGATTCCCTGTAGTTCATTAGATGGATTGTAATCCATAAAAGCATATATGTGATCATAAATGTTAGTCTTTAAAAAAAAATTGAGTACATCGGGTGACTTACACAGACATAGTTCATGCAAACTATAGAACTAATTTGCAATTGCCTTCTGCATTTTTTTTTTCAACCTTCCAATTCAGCATCTGATCTTTAAGGTCCCTCAGACCTCTTTTGTTACTATTTTTCCTAGCTTATGTTAATAGTACTAGAATTCTTATTTATTAGAACTTTAGAACTAGACACATTATTAAATTAATGGAGCCTTATATTCTTAAATTAGAGGAGCCAAAGATCAGGATTTTAGAGCATACCAAATCATGCATAATGTAATTTATATTCAAAAAGTAACAGGGGGATTTTAAATCTACAGAGAATACTGAAGAAAAGCACTTCAACTCCCCCTCCACCCCAAATTTCTGTATCATTTTTTCTTGGCTTCCAAAGGTATGAAAATCTTTAGATCTCTCATATCTTGAAACAGAGCTTTGTGCCTCTGTGAAAATTGAATGTACACAAGTACACAGCAGAAGATAAATGATCAGAGAGATATGGGTGTTTTGTGGCAGAGTGATGAATTTCAGTAAAGTTGGAGATAGAAATTTAAAAAAAAAAAGGACTGCCCAAGTGCATTCAATGGATCCGCCTGTTATCCCTGACCTTTTATTTCATGTATTCATTCATCTAATTAGATAGTGTCAGAATGTGCCCAGCACTATACAGGAAGTGTGGGGGGAAGGAAACAAGGCTATTTCCTGCTCTGAAGAGCTTAGTGTGAAGTTCAGGAAAATGAAGAGATGGCAATTGGGGGTGGTGGGGTGGGAGAACCATGCTCATGATTTGCTGCAGATTCAGCTGGAAATAAAGCAAAGGAATAAGGGGAAAGGACAGCTTAGCAAATACTGTGAACCCAACTAGTTTTGGTTTACTGGTTAAGCCAATCACGGCTTCATACAGCGTGTGAAGCCAGACCGGGTGAGTGGTGCCTGCAGGAACTAAGAAGATGGGCTGAAGTGTTTAGGGGAAATGATTTACCCTGCATAGCAACTGGCTGAATATGCAAAATGGATGATTAATTGATTGTTGCCTTTCTATCCTACCTTTCCTCAAGGATTGAAGGCAGTGCATATCCTTGATTTCATCCTTAGAATAATTCTGTAGGATGGACTGGCCGGAGAAGTAACGATGTAGCCCAAGCCACCACTTCCTGGTCTTGGCCCAACTTTTTGAGCAGTTAGATGAGGGCTGTCAAACTTGCGGGCCGCGGGCCGACTGCATCATATGCTGCCCAGGCCCATGCCTGCTTTAGCAAAGTGGGGGGAAGTCCCAATACGTCACATAACACCGCCGTGACGAAATGAGTTTAACACCCCTGTGTTAGATGAAATGGGGCCTCAGTGAATCTGTTTTCTAAGCCTGTGACTATTTTTCTACTGGCTGCTGATGCCCTCTAACCTAAGTGTATTGGTTCAAGCCAGACTTTCCTTCACTCGCTTTGTCTGCGCAAGGATCACAGTTGTCTCTCATCTCTTTCCACAGGGCTGATCACTCACGAAGGCTCCTCGGTGTATCGAATATTCAAACGCTGGCAGGCAGTGAACCAGCAGTGGAAGGTGCTGAATTACGACAAAGCCAAGGACCTGGGGGAACCCCTCGGTGGGAGCACAAAGCCAGGGGGGCGGAATTCACGGACGAATCCCTCCACAGGGAGTGAGAGGACCTCCCAGCGGGGCCAGCGGGTTAGGACTATTTTGAACCATCACTGTGGCTATACAATTCTGCACATTCTCAGCCACCTGCGGCCTAATGAACATCGCGGGGGCTCCGGTTCCAGCCGCGAAGTGGTCATGAGGGTGACGACCGTATAATAACCGCTTAGGGAGCGCTTGTCAAGAGGGAGAGGCTCTGCAGATCCGATGGAAGGAAGACACCGATGCCCTCGCTTCCACACACAGGCTCCATTCTGAGCCCCTACGGGGTTGGCCACACATTGAATACTGTCTGACGAAGAAGGCACATGGCTCTGTGGCGTTGCCACAGACCCCACTCAAGCCTTCCTTGTAAAGGAGAAGCGCCTCAGTGTGGTTTCCTCTTCCTGATCTCCCATAATGTGAATTCTTTTCCTTTCCATCCAGGCCTGTGATGAAAGGAGAGACAACCCAGCCCTCCCCACTGTGGCCCAGCCCTCCTGACGCCACCTCCCTGCTGGCTTCTCTTGTTATGATTAAACTCTTTGGGAGTTGGGTGGGCTTTTAATTTTATTTATTTTATTTATTTATTTTAAAAAATGGCTCCTTGCTGGGTCCCTTTCTGGACAAGTCTTGGCGCCAACCCGTCCAGAAATTTGGAAATATTTTTACCTCATCTTTCAAAGGAAAACCTGCCAGAAGAACCACGCCTTGCCACCCTCATCCTGTTGCTCTCTTTCTCTCTGACCAGGAGATGCCAACCAGAGAGGATCTGAACTTTGACCATCCCCTCCCCTCCCCCCCAAAAAAATAAATTTGAAAAATGGTGCAATAAACATGTTTCTTAAAGCAAAATGCCATCTTGCAATAAGGTTGCTGCACATTTCATCTTTAATTTACTGCATGAAAGTCTGTTTCTCCTGTTCTCCCTTCCCCCCACTTTCTTATCTCTCCAATTATGAAAGGATAAAGGATTGTTTATATACAAATAGGTGTCTTCCATTTGCATTGTGCACTTTCCTTTTTAAAGTTCTATTCCAAAGAATGGACATGTATGTGGAAGATCCTGGGTGGGAAGCAGAAATGTACACTTGGGAGAGTCAGTTAGGAAGGTGGGTGGAAACCTCACTGTGTTTCGGCCTTTGGGCCTATTTTGAGAAGAAAGAGCCTAAGACTTATTTATTTATTATGTATTTAGTCAAATGCTGACAATATAATAGAAATAAGAATAAACATAAGTTTAAATATATGAAATAGGTACAAATAAATAGGGACAATAGCGCAGGGACAGTAGGCACGATTGTGCGCTTATGCACGCTCCTTACAGACCTCTTAGGAATAGGGTGAGGTCGATAGAGGTTAGTTTGAGGGTAAAGAAGTGGGGGGTTAGTTTAAGATTAAGCTACTTTGAACTGAATGGGGTTTGTAACTGAATGGACATTTATAGGATTGCTCCATATATCCCATTTATGCCACAATTATGGCAATCGTTTCTTGCATTTGAGAACTTGACCTCAAGTGTAGGCCAATCTTATGCTTGTTGATTTGGATGTAAGTGCTACTTTATGTTCAGTGGCAATTTACTCTGGTGAATAAGCAGAGGATGGGAACATTAAGTGTCACTGGTATCTCCTTCTTGTCATAGCTGAACATATTACAATTATGGGTTTTTTTTTTCTGAATTTAAAAGGAAACAGTATGACATTTTGAGACTTTCAAGCATCTTTCCATAGTTGAGGTTACTTTCCTCCAAACTCTTCCCCAAAAGAATGTTTCTATTTCATGGTTTATTCTGTGAACGTAGGATTCACTTCTGAACCTGACCATCTAGGCCAGGGGTGTCAAACTCAATTTCATTGAGGGCCGCATCATGGTTGTGTTTGACCTCGGGGGCTGGGGGACATGGCCAGCTCGACATCAATCATCAAGGCTCCATTTTTGGCCTCAACAGCCTCCTGCGCCCGGTTTTCAGCTGTGACGACTTCCCGCAGACCTCTGCCAGCAAAAATGGAGCCCCCCCCCTGAGCTCTGTTTTTGCTGTCACAGGCATTGCAGGCCGCTCCTTTGCTGTTTCCAAGGCGGCCCCACAGGCCAAATCTAAGCACCCTATGGGCCAAATCCGGCCCGCAGGCCTTGAGTTTGACACCCCTGATCTAGACATCTTTAGTTTGATTTTTAAAGATGACTTTCCTGGTCTAATGGTTATGAAGATAATATTTGTTATCTTAACATGGATATTCAAAGCAAGGGGTCTCTAATTGCTCTGCTTGGCTAGAAGGCAGGATCTGGATTGCCAAAAGACACTCCCCAAACACGTTGTCTTTTAAAACAGTATTATCAGATTTTTAATAGAGTACTTAAGCTTTTGATTTTCTAAAACTAGAGATTTGATATAAGAAATGTTGCAATGCAAATGTGGTCACATTATATAGCTGAATTTAGGCAAAGAGAAATTCAAAAGAAGGTACATTATGTGAAAAACTATAGGAAAAACTACAGTAAGGTTTATAGAAAGCACAAGATATTTGTTGATATATAGACAGGATATCATCACTGCAAAACTTCCTTCTAATTGACACTGCCATGCAGATATTTATAAGGGATTGTATTAATTACTTGAACTGGTATATAATTAAAAGAAACTGAAAATTAAACATTCAGAATAGCTGTTAATTTTGCCTGGCATATATTTGCTTCGCATATTTAAATGATCGTTGAAAACTTCACTAAGAGTTAATTTGAGTTAGTATATATTTATATCATCGTCCTGACTAGAATCTGGGTCTCCCTGCTGCTAGTCCAGCATGTTAACCCCTAAACTCTATTAGTGTTTAATGCAGATGATATGGATATAAATATATATTAACTCAATTTAACTCTTAGTGGAGTTTTCAACGATCATTTAAATAGCTATGCAAGGCATATGTATGCCAGGTGAAATTAACAGCTACTGTATTTTGAATGTTTAATTTTCAGTTTCACTTAATTATATACCAGTTCAAGTAATTAATATCATCCCTTATAAATATCTGCATAGCAGTGTCAATTAGAAGAAAAGGAAGTTTTGCAGTGATGAAATCCACAGCAGGGGAAAGGAGCAAAATGAACGGTGAGCCAGAAATTAAGAAATGACAGTCACAACATTGCCACAAAAACAACTCTTTGCAAAGTGGAAATGAGTAGTTATTATTGTTGCTAGCATTTTTTCCCCTCCTAAGATTGTAATGTGTCCTCTAAATTGAATGAGGCTCTTGTTGGGCCAACATAGGCCAAATTTATTTATTTATTTATTAAATGTATGTGCCGCCCAATTGTCCAAAGATGATTCTGGGTTGCAGCATGGGTAACCATTCATCTTAATGCTTGGCCATCCTATGCTTGTTAATCAACTTTTTCCACAAAATCGGCAAGGTGATCTGGAACTGTTATTCCACTGTTGGGCAACAATTGCAAATGGCTGTTCGTCAAAGAGCTGAGTCTCAGCTCAGGCGGGAGTTTCCAGAGAATGGGTGCTTTTATAAAATGTAGAACGAGCTTTATATTCAACACTATGATACATAGCAACGCTAATTTTAAATAGCACAATGATTTTAAAAAGTGTTCCCTTGGGCTCAGGCCCCAGCGGGATGATTATTAATGCCTGTCCTTGGAAACCCCTCTAACCAATCTGTGCCAATCCAAATGTCGAGATGAAAAACAGCTCTGCTATTGCCAGGTCACCATACTCTGTTACAGTATCATCCAGGAATGAAGGTATCATCTCCACTTCGCAAGATATGATCATGGCAACATGGAAGGTGGATGGCGGAAGACTCTCAAGGAGCTTCTCAAATCCACCTTCATGTTTCTACACCATCCAAAATTCCCTATTCTTCCCTATGCTTGATTAATTGTAATGAAGTACACACTGCTGGCTATGATTGTCCATGTCATAGTTTGAGCTTCATCCATTTTCTGCTAGTAAAACACTTGCTGTGTTAAGTTTCTAGTCCAGAGCCATAAAGAAGCAGCAGTTCTCCCACTTTTCCTCCAAGCAGCTTAAACAGCACCCTCTGTTCCCAATTTTCTCATTCCCTTGGACTGGATATTGACTTAAACGTGGTTTCCTGAGTTCTAGTTCGAAACCATTATCTCTATTCCCCCACACACACTATCTGTCACCCTCAGCTTGCTGCCCTAACAAACTCAACTGTCTGGATACTGCATCTCAGGATAGGGAATTGGAAAGAGGGGCTAGGTTAATGAGACAGCTGCGACTTCACTGCAGGGCCTTCTTGCTGCTGGTGTTATATCTCTGTTAAAGGGTTCCTGAGATAGGTGAGGGGCTCTTCCTCCTCATTTATAACAATTGGAAAACTTTCTTTGAAGCTGACGCGTTTGGATGCTGCTATTTTTGCCCAATGAATGTCATGATAAGAGGACGTAGCAAGGGCTGAAGAAATTTTTAAAAAAACCAACTCTGTGAAGAAGTATCATTGAAGAGTTCTTGGTGCTCTCTGAGCTTGGTTGTTTTCTTGCAGACATTTCATTACCCAAACTAGCACTGATGACTTTACCTAGTTTGGGTCGTGAAACATTTGCAAGAAAACAACCAAGCTCAAGAGTGAATACAATAGAATAGAATTCTTTATTGCCCAAGTGTGATTGGACACACAAAGAATTTGTCTTGGTGCAAATGCTCTCAGTGTACATAAAAGAAAAGATATATTTGTCAAGAGAATCATAAGGTACCAAGCACCGCTCATTTCAACTCTGAACTTCAAATATTTTCCTTTAGAAGGGTCATCCTTGGACAAAAGGATTCCCACACAGTGCATATGGCTGAAAGATAATGGTGCCAAGGAGGATTGCGTGGAGAGAAGAGGGGTGGGCAGTGGAGGCGGATCAGAGCTTTCACTCTGCTCAAATGGTCAATATTCTCACTAGAAATCATTCTGACAGCTGGAAATGCAGAAACAGTGTTCGAAGGAGAGGAAAGTCAGCACAGAAGGGGAGGAGAAACCTAACCTGGCATTTCTCTTCTCTACATCCCAACTACCTGGTTTGAGCTTCACTGGTTTTCAATATTTTGAAAGGAGAGGCCATAGGACACTGCTGAGAGATGAGTGGGAAATGGATGGTACGGGCTTTTATCCACAGGTAAGAACATCCTTTTGGTAATGCTTCTAGTAGTTGGGCAT